TCCCTCGTGCCTCCAGGTGTGCCAGGCTGGCCGCACTGCTCTGTTTACTCACCGTGTTTAGCCAGTATGTTGAATTTCCAGGAGTGTGAGGCAGCTGGGGAGCAGTGAGGGCGTGTGCATGTGTGTGCCCAGCTCCCCCCACACCACCCCAGGTGCTGCTGTTGGGACAGGTCGGGTGGTAGCACCAGGGTGCGATGCCACAGGCAGCGTCTGTGGCAAATGAAACGCTGTGTCCGAGCTGAGAGCTTGGAGGGGGTCCTTGGCCACCTCTCCAGCATCAGTGGGTCGGGAAGACCCCCTCCCCATCCTGACCCTTTGCATGGGGGGACCCCAATTCCCAGCCCCTCTCAGGCCACGTCGCCTCCAGCTGCTGTTGACTCACAGGCTCCGACGCCGAGTCCCAGGGCTGAGCCTGAGATGCTTTTACAGGCAAAGCTGAAATGCACAAAATGTTCGACTTGTAAAATATGTAGCGTGAGAAAATAGCCTTTTCTGCTCTCCTCCACACTGCCGCCGCTCCCCTGCCCCATCTGCTCGCTTGGAAAGCTTCCCACAGCCGGGGGGAGAGGGGCTGGCGGCACCGGGGGACCCTCCGCGATGGCAGCTCGAGGGTGGCAACCACCCCGTGCCGCCCCGCAGTGCCAGGAGGGACCCCAGGGACATCACGAGGCACCTCCGGGATGCGCTTGGTCCATGAGGATTTTGCTCCCATGAAGCCTCCCCCGTCCTCCCGTGTGTTTCAGCATCCCGAGGTTTCTCTCCCCTGGGACATGTTCTGAGAGCAATAGTGGGGCTGGCACCGGAAAAGCCAAGCGGGGCTGTGCCAGGGGGATGACGCGGGCACAGTTGGCACGTCCCGAGGGACCTGAGGTTTCCAAAAGGGGGTAGCACAGGAGGGTGCTGGGAAATACCCCTGCGAGGTGCCCTGGCAGTGCCCGGCCGGGCTGGGAAGGAGCCACCACGCCAGAGCTGGCCACCAGCCATGGTTTCCAGCAGCCACCTTCATCTATCATTATCTGGGCGCATTTCGGATCCTTGCCAAGAGCAAGGTGGGAAGGGGGGGTTGCGAGCAAGCTTCCCCTATTCCCCTGCCATCCTTTTTGCTTCCTGTGTGTAATTAACAGAGTAATTAAAAACAGGATGAGTTAATTGGTATTCATTTATGTGGCAGATGTTTTTAATTGAGATACGAAACAATTTACCTGTTTACATAAACAATAGCAAATGAAGGCTTGTAAAACAGAGGGGGCGCTTATTTTTTTGTTGTTGCTTTTGGTTTTGTTGTTGTTGTTGTTGTTTTGAGGCAAATCCAACCCATCTCCCTCCTCCCTGGCCACGCTGGCTCGGGGAGGGAGCGGGTGCTGGTTGGCACAGCCTGTGCCAGGCCCAGGAGGTGGGTTTGGATCCCAGGGCTGCCTGTTGTGGCTTGAGGAATGGGGTTTGTTTGACTTGGGGTGCATGGGGAGCAGGGCTCTGGGAGCTGGCGGCTGTCACTGTGTGGGTGAGGGGGGGTCAAGGGGACAAAAGTGCCCAGGTCCTCAATAGCTGTGCAAGGAGCATTGCCCGTTGAGCATTCCTGAACATCCCTGTGATGCTGCTGCGGGCAGGGGCGGCTCAGGCAGGGAAAGGGAAGCAAAGCGGGATGAATCCAAGCAGGGTGTGGGGTGGGTGAGGAGTGCGTGTCCTGGTGGGTCCCAGGACTCCTGTGGGCAAGGCAAGGCTGGTGGGATGGAGCCTGGCCTGGCCTGGCCTGGTTCAGCTGTGGTGCAGCTGAACTGAACCACAGGGGCAATGCCCAAACTTGTGGGCTGGTTGGCGTGGCACTGTCACCAGGCTGTCACCTCCCCGGCTGGAGGAGCAGGGCAGAGCCAAGACCTGATGAGCATCCTTGTGAGCATCCCTGCCTGCAGGCAGGGCTCAGGTGCCTGGCAGGGCTGGGCCCTGCTGCCAGCACTCCCCTGGCACTGGTGGGCACATCTGTGTCCTCTCATCCTGCTGGTGATCATGGTCCCCAAAATGTGCACGTGGGACACGTTGGCAACAGGATAAGTGTCAGGGGTGGGTAACATTCCTCCAGTATCCCACAGCCACTGTCCTGCTCTCTCCCCTTCTACTTGGAATTGGGAATGAGCCTCCTCCAAGCTGCCTGCTGTCACTTATCCCCCTTGTCACCGCTGCCCAAGGAGGGGACTGGGATGGCTGCAAGGAGATGACTGTGCCCTGTGGCTCCCAGCACTGCTGCCAGGCTCTCCCCCACGTGGCTGGGGGTGCTGGCCGGCGGCCCGGACTGCGCGCC